TCTACACACACACACACACACACACACACACACACACACACACACACTCTCGTACCTGACACAGGTGTGATGGACAGCAGGATGACCACGGCTGACGCTCCTCTCCACGCCATCATTATCCCTCCGTCTGTTTGTCTGTCTGTCGTCTGATGGGCCGCAGGTTCGAGACACACGAGTGTGTGTGTGAGACTTTAGTGAAGATCGAGATCTGCTCTGTGACAGGAAGTGGCTCCTCGAGCTCCACCTGTACATACAGACACGACCCACCTACTGAAACACTGACGACACACACACACACACACACACAGAGAGACACACACGCGCGTGCGGCCTACTCATTCTCAGAGAAAGATTTGAGCGATTAACAGAACGAGAGACGAACAATCCAATCAAAGATCAGCTCTTTATTTCACTGCATCATGACAAAAAATCCTTATTAAAAATACACATCAGCATTAGAAAAATAATCACTCTGAGTAAATATCATTTGACTGGCGTCTGTGTGATTTTATAGGGCTGGAAGCCGTCAGATGAGCATAAAATTACAGATCAACTGTAAAATACAAGCAAAATGAGCAAAAACTTCACATCAATACAGCGTCATTTTTGCCACACATTTTTTAAATTATTGTATGGGGTAGGTTTAGGTTTGGGGGAGGTGTAGACATTAATAAAACACAATCTAATATGTAGAAAATTAAATTTCATTGATCGTTTCCGGTCGGAGCTGTATCCCTTCTAGCCACAACCCAAAAACTTCACATTCACATTTCCTGCCACAGGGGTCAGAGGTCAAAGGTTAGGGGCAAAGACACCAAACTGAACATCTATGAGTGACACGCGTGAATCTCACGAGGCTTTCTTAAGATTTCAATCTGCATTTGGTGTGAATCTGTGAAGGGTCGAATGAAAGCGCTTGTGCAAACTGCAAAAATCATTCGGAATTGACACATCATGCTGCATTAATGTTCTGGAGAAATTAACAACATGTGATTAATACATACACACACACACACACACACACACACACACACACACATTCAACCTGAGAAACATTCATAAATCCGAGTCTCTTCTGAAACACTCCATCAGTGATTCTGATCCGGTTCACCAGGATTACAGCGTGTCACTTCCTGTAGAAACACACACACACACACACACACACACACACACACTGAGGTCACGTGACGTTCAGTACTGCGTCTGCTTCTGACTGATAACAGCTGCGCTCAGAGCTCATATGAACAGTATATTCAGAACTATATTGCTGGTGATGTAAGACCCAGAAGACGATAACTGGATGTGTTTCTGGACTGTTTCAGTGAATCAATTCAAAACTCTGATTCAGTGAATTGTTCACTCAGAAATGTCCAGTCTGCCCACTCTACTTCAAATTATTTATCCAAAAAAAAAAAGTTTTTGAGTTTTTTCACTCAAAAACTGAATATTACCAAAATTATCCACAAATTATTTTTTAATTCAAAAACTGAATATTACCAAAATTCTCCAGAAATAATGCTTTTTTTCATTAAAAAAACTGAAAATGACCAAAATTATCCACAAATAATGCTTTTTCATAAAAAAAAACTGAATATTACCAAAATTAATTCATAAATAATGCTTTTTTCACTGAAAAACTGAGATGCATGAGCTCAAATCAATGCAGCCTTCAATTAATCAGCTCCAAAAACAACCACAAAACCTGTGCTGATTGAAAGAAAACAAACTGATAAAAAATGAATCCAATATTTGGTGATAATATGAGAGATTTATAAGGCCAGGAACACCAAATTTCATTAAAAAACTGAATATGACCAAAATTATCCGCAAATAATGTTTTTTTCATAAAAAACGGAATATTACCAACATTATCCACAAATTATTTTTTAATTCAAAAACTGAATATTACCAAAATTCTCCAGAAATAATGCTTTTTTTCATTAAAAAAACTGAAAATGACCAAAATTATCCACAAATAATGCTTTTTCATAAAAAAAAACTGAATATTACCAAAATTAATTCATAAATAATGCTTTTTTCACTGAAAAACTGAGATGCATGAGCTCAAATCAATGCAGCCTTCAATTAATCAGCTCCAAAAACAACCACAAAACCTGTGCTGATTGAAAGAAAACAAACTGATAAAAAATGAATCCAATATTTGGTGATAATATGAGAGATTTATAAGGCCAGGAACACCAAATGAGCTAAAGGATTTTCAGTACAGCATAGGAGTGATTTCAGAGCAAATATATAAAGTGAGTTTAGTGCTGATTCACACTGAGTGAATGGAACGGAGTCATATAAGTGAATCATCTAAGTGAAGCTCGATCACGTCTGCCGGACTCACCGCTGTGTTTCCGGTACGGAGTGGCTTGGTAATACTCCTCCGGCGTGACAGTTTTCACTCCGCCGAAGTAATCGAGCACCCAGACCTGTGTGATGTTCATCTTGGCGAAGAACCAGTTGTGATCGGTGGGCCAGTCGATCATCTCTGGGTGTCTACTGAACAGAGCGGCTTTAGCCACCGATGCCTCGCTGCCATTCACCTGAAACAGATTCACGTCACACCATCACTGATTCACACCGATTCAGCGTCACACCATCACTGATTCACACCGATTCAGCATCACACCATCACTGATTCACACCGATTCAGCATCACACCATCACTGATTCACACCGATTCAGCATCACACCATCACTGATTCACACCGATTCAGCATCACACCATCACTGATTCACACCGATTCAGCATCACACCATCACTGATTCACACCGATTCAGCGTCACACCGTCATTGATTCACACCGATTCAGCGTCACACTGTCACTGATTCACACCGATTCAGCGTCACTGATTCACACCGATTCAGCGTCACACCATCACTGATTCACACCGATTCAGCGTCACACCATCACTGATTCACACCGATTCAGCGTCACACCATCACTGATTCACACCGATTCAGCATCACACCATCACTGATTCACACCGATTCAGTCACACCATCACTGATTCACACTGATTCAGCGTCACACCGTCACTGATTCACACCATCACTGATTCACACCGATTCAGCGTCACACCGTCATTGATTCACACCGATTCAGCGTCACACCATCACTGATTCACACCGATTCAGCATCACACCGTCACTGATTCACACCATCACTGATTCAAACCGCACAAGGAGAAGAGTGCTGTACCTCCACCACGGAGCCCGACAGGATGATGTGGGCGCATAGTGGACTCTGAGGATCGAATCCGTGATTCTTACAGTAGCTGGTCTGAGCCAGAGACACGGACAGAGACGACTGGGGATTCACCTGTCACACACACACACACACACACACACACACACAGATCAGATCAGATCATCAGTCGTTTGCAGTGTGTGTTCATGTTTTTAACTTCAGCTGCTCAGTTCTGCTGAATGTTGATAAAGTCAAATCGCTGCGTCACGTCCTGAGTCATGTGCTGAATCACACTTACATAATAAAACCACATCAGGGTTACATAGTCATAAAAACAAAAAAAATCACATGATATTAAATGAATAAAAAAAGTAAAAAAAATGTTTTTTAAATTGTTTTCTCACACACACACACACACACACACACACACACATATTATTATTTCATGCCAGTTTATATTTTATTGCATTTTATCTATTTATTTAATATATATATTTTTTCTTTTACAATTAATATAATTTTATTACACTACAACTATTTGTGTTTTATCTAATTTTACATTTGAGATTTTGGTCTATTTTGCTTCCATATGTCTTCTTTCAGACTAGTGGAAAGAAAACATCCAAAATACACATTTAAATTATATACACAGACATATATATATAATATATATTTCCTATAATATATATGAAAAAACACAGTTTATGGAACAAATTAGTAGAAAATTTCAAAATGTAATATATAGAGAGAGAGAGAGAGAGAGAGAGAGAGTGTGTGTGTTGTTCTATTTTGCTCCATAATTTATAATTAGAGGAAAGGAAACATCAGACACACATTGCAGTGTTGATTTGATTTCAGTTGATTTATGGAGCGATAAAAAGAAAAATCCTGAATCCCCTCTGGAAAAACCTTGAACTCTAATATTTTTGTTGTATTTATGTGCTGGAAATGCATGCACATGAGTGTTGCTACAGTAAAAGCATGGTAAATGTTCGTTAGGGTGTATGACTGATCAGCACTGATCCGCACCTGCAGGTCCTGCACCGAGATCTCCAGGTGTGTGAGGTACAGGTACGGGGTTCCGGTTCCGTTGCCCGCGGGCCCGTCGCTGATGGAGAAGGCGTTGGAGAACGGCTGTCCTCTGACCAGATCGTGAGTGGAGATCGTGGCCATCGAAGCCCAGTCGCACTTACTGACCACGAACCGGGCCATCCGAGCCACCTCCTCATGCGGCGGAACCGACAGAGAGCCACCGAGTGCGGCGACGAGCGCGACACACACCGCCAGCAGCGAGCGATCCTTCATCATCATCATCATCATCATCATCACTACTGAACCAAACCAGCCACCGATCACCGTAAACAACCGAGCACAAACGACTCTGATCACAGACGCATAACTGATTACAGACTGAACACAAATGATTCACATGAGTCGACTCCTGACACCACTGAATCAAATGAGCACAGAGGCACTGATCACTGACTGAACACTGAACACAAATGATTCACATGATCACAGAGTCATGAATCAATGATTCATAAGATCTCACCGACCACGATTCATTTGATCACACGAGTCATGAGTGAACTCCACAACAAATGGTCACATGATCAAAACAGCTGTCATGTGACTTCAACACGTGTTTACAGAAGAATCCAAGCCACAAACAAGTTACTAAACCAACAAACACATTCGTTCAGTTATTAATAGATCTCAGATTTCTTTACCTGCTTGTGTGAGTTTCTGGAATAACATATTTAGTGATACAGAGTGGGAAGATTTTTGGCTTCTTTGACAAAAATTCTTCTTATCTAATAAAGTTGTTGAAGTCTCTATTAAAATTATCCATAATTGCTACCCGGTAAACTACAAACTTGCTAAATTTAATAATAGTATTTCCCCAGTTGCTCCTTTTGTCTTCAGTCTGAAGAAACAATGACTCATTTATTTTGGGACTGTGCTTATTGTAAAGTGTTCTGGATTGACTTTTCCAATTTTGTTTAAAAAATAAATGTATATCCAAACTTGTGAATAACCCCCAAAAATGTGTTTTGTTTTGTTTTGTTTTGTTTTGTTGGTTGCTCTTTGAATCTAGACTCTTCTCACTTTAAATTCATTATCAGTTTATTGCTATTTCTTGCCAAATTTCACATTCATACATTTTCAAAGAAAACTTCCTATTTTGTTTTCAGGAAGACTGCTGATGTGTATGCAAACTCTAATAATTCTATTGCATGTAAGACTCTTTCATGGTGTGATTCTTATAAGCTAACACAGTACACTTTGATTTATTAATTTATGTAACCCTCAATGTCTTTTGTTCTTATTCTGTCTTTGCATTTGTTTTTGATGTTCTTTTGTTGCATGAAAATATTAAAGTACAGTGCATTATAGACACGATTTTCTGTAAAGCGTCTTTGAAATTTGTTTTGTGAAAAGCAATATGCAAATACCTTCCTGCCTGCATTAAATTCAATATACTGATATTGATAAATATTATATTATCTTCATTTGACCCTCTGAATCTAGCACTATTCTAATTTTATTTGATATATTTGTTTTCTTTTTATTTATAAAAAACACACTCTAACACTTGCACTCTCTGTTCTACTTCTATTCTATCTACTTATTTTCTTTTTATTTATTATATTAAAAAAACCTTGTCACAGCACTTACATATTGTTGCTCTTTTGTTGATTCTGATTGCTTCTGTTGTCCTCATTTGTAAGTCACTTTGGATAAAAGCATCTGCTAAATGGCTAAATGACAAATGCAAATTATAATAAACATTTAAATATCACCTAATAATATAAACAAGCTTATAAGCAAATAGCTGCCTTTTAAAACGACTTTATTTCTTAAATACAGTAGTCAACATTTGATGTGGATCAAAAAAGTTCATCAAAGTTGTACTAAGACCATTTTATGTTTTAGGACAACTTTGATGAAAGCTTTTGATCCACTTTAAATGTTGACTAGTAATTATTTAAATTCTTGAAATTAAAAAATAAAAAATAAAAAAGTGTTGAAATGCGCTCATTGAGACTCACTCTAATTGATCAATTACGAAATAATCAATTCAAACAGCTGATTGGCCACCAGCTCATTTGCACAGGTGAAGTTCAGTTAAACTCAGTTAAGCTCAGTATAAAACACAAGAATCTTAAACTGAGATCAAATAACTTTGCTGCTGTTCTTTGTTTGCCGGGTGTCTTAATTCGGTAAGTTTGAGTTGTTTTAATGTAAGCTTTAACTTTTGACTAGCTTACTTAAATCAGACTTTATATTTGTAGTTAATTATGTATTTTATGGTAGGTAACATTTGAAGTAGATCAAAACCTTTCAAATTTGTTCTAAAACATAACAATCTTGACTTGGGACAACTTGAAACGTTTTTTTTATTTTTTTTATCCACTTCAGATGTTGACTACTGTAAGATTTTAATCGCTACTTGTCGGCGCGGCGTCCCGAGTTCGAACCCCAACTTCAGTCTTTAAAAAGTAGTTACTTATTCATTTGCACTTTTACTAATTTCTAAATCTGTTTTGGACTCAGGTACTCGATCAGACTGTCTAATGTCAGTTGTGCAGATGCATCGATCACTGCGCTGTTCTGGTTATTTACTTAAGTTCTTTAACTTTCTAAACTTTATTTTTTCCTCTCTAGCGCAGTTCATCGCATCATGTCTGGCCGCGGTAAGAAGCTGGTCGCTGCGCCGAAGAGCAAGTCCTCCTCCGTGTCGCGTTCGACGCGCGCGGGGCTGCAGTTCCCCGTCGGTCGCGTCGCGCGTCTCCTGCGCAAGGGGAACTACGCGTCGCGCATCGGCTCCGGGGCGGCGGTGTACCTGACGGCGGTCATCGAGTATCTGTGCGCGGAGGTGCTGGAGCTGGCGGGCAACGCGAGCCGCGACAATAAGAAGCTGCGCATCGCGCCGCGGCACATCCAGCTAGCGGTGCGCAACGACGAGGAGCTGAACGCGCTGCTGGGCGGCGTCACGATCGCGGAGGGCGGCGTGCTTCCCAACATTCAGGCGCAGCTTCTGCCCAAGAAGACCAAAGCCCCGCGGGACACCGCCAACTCCAGCAAAGACGTCCAGTCCCAGGACTTCTGAAGCGCGGACCGTTTTAAGCACTTGACTGTTGATGGGTTTTAACTTTAATAAATCTGGTTCTTTAAAGTCTGCCTGGTTTCGGTCTTGTTTGAGCGTCATCAGAAGTTCCTCCCTGCTGGGAAAACCATGGACTCCTCACAAAATCTGTAATGGTTTGACTGGTTATAGCGGGACTTGTATTGGTTTTAATGGAGACTGTAATGGACCCTGTGGGTCTCTACTGGTAACTGGTCATCTTCTGTTGGTGGCTTGTTTAAAAAAAAAAAAAAAAGTATCCAAATGGAATGTTTTTTTTTTTTTTTTTTTTTTTTTTTTTTTTTTTTTACAACAAAAAGTGGGG